ATGTATCTTTCCTGCAGAATGAAGTTCATCTGTCAAATACATGCCACAGCCAGGAGCTCCCGCCCCGAGCTGGGCACGGGAATGACTTGGTGAGCAGGACGGACTCTGTCCCTGGCATCAGTGAGATCAGGTGCTCAACTCAGCAGAAGACTTTTGAAAACTTAAAAGCCATCTGGGTCTGCTGCAAGACTGCTAGGCCTTACCTGGCCTGTGTGGCTCAGTGGATTGAGCATGGTCCCATGGACTGAGAGGCCCTGGTTCTATTCCCAGTCAGGACACATGCCCAGGTTGCAGACTCGATCCCCAGTAGGGGGGCGTGCAGGAGGCAGCCAACTAATGTTTCTCTCTCCCTTCTTCTCTCTCTAAAAAAAAAAAAAAATCAATAAAAACATAAAATATTAAAAAAAAAAGAATGCTAGGCCTGGCAGAAAATGCCTGGAGGAAACAAAATTTGGGTGGATGGGTAAATGAGTGATAGTAATGCTTCTATTTTTTGAGTATTTACCTGATGCTGGGCACTAAGCTAATGCTTTCCCTGTAGCTCATTAAACCTTCTCAGCACCATAAACAGCAAGAACCGGCATTATCTCCTTTACAATGCAGGCAGCTGATGCTGGGGAGGTGAAGTCACTTGCCACAGGCTACACCGCCTGTGACAGAGGAAGACAGGACCATGCCCCACAGCCACCCTGTTCCAAAGCCAAACACTGTGTGACTTCTGTGGGGACTGTGAGTGATATCTAGGGGAACAGGCACAATGGGGCCCAGAGCCCGCCATCTGCTGCTTACTCCTTAAGAAAGGCGTGACACAGGGTGGCCTCACATGGGCACAACCTGATTCCCACATAGGAATCTTCCTTGTTTCCAGGGGGTGGGGCAATGTCAACACCAGAGACCGGCTCAGGGCTGAGGGACAAGCAGGTTCCAGCAAGTCAGGTGAGCCAGGGGAATCTCCAAGACCCGTCTTACTGGTTTCTCACAAGTATGTCACCCACAAAGCCAAACAGTAATGGGAGTGCTAGAGTGTGTTTTTCCTGGGGTCAGGCTCCGTGGAAGCTGGAGCAGGCTTCAGCATTGGTTCTAAACTTCTGAACAGAAGGGGAGCCACCCCCTAGACTCCCTCCCAACACACACACACACACACACACACACACACACACACACACACACACACACGGCCACTGCACCAGGCAGTCTGTTAGTGACGACGCCCTTGCTTGAGCCTGTGTGAACGCCCTCGAGTGCTCACCCAGACGCTTGCAGAGGGTTTCATTCTTCCTGTAACATCCGCAGAGGTCTCAACTCTCCTCAGTAAAGGGGACTTTTTCTCCTCCAGAACCATGGCCGATCTCACTAGGAGTCAGGGTTTCCCTGGCAACAGTGTCAGGGAGATACACTGAGAGGGGCAGGAGAAGAAATGCGTCCTGGGCATGGGACCTGACCTCCACCAGGGGACACCGAAAGGCTCAAAGCTTTCTCTCGCAAACCTGCCCATTTCTTCCCTCTCTGCCAGACCACATCCTCCTGGTTCCAGTTTCTCCCTTAGCAATCAGGTGCGGTTATATAGTGCCCCTCAGCACCGGTTCCTGCTTCTTACATGGCCCCAGGGGACTCAGCTGTGGGGCACCCAGCAAGTCTCCCCAGTCTCAGGCTCCTCAGCAGGGCACCCCCTCACTCCCATCACACACAGGGAGCCTCGTGGGCCTGTGGACACACTTTGGCTGTGAAGATGCCACGAGCATGAGGCCTTCCTAGTTCTCTTCCACTCCCTTCAGAGAGCTGGGCTCTGCACCCAGGCTGCTGTGAATTAAACCAGCAGAGGAAGAAAGGGGCTCCATCAAGCGTAATTAAGGTTGGCTGTGAATGTTCCTTTTCCCAGCCCCACGTTCGGCTGTCAGATGCCCTGTGCCGTTGGTCCCTTGAGATGGCTATCACTGATGGTGGCCCAGGGCAGCCAGCTACTCACCCACTTAGGCAGGAGGCTGGAAGGTGGGAGGGAGTGAAGAAATGATTTCAGTGTTGATTCCTCTCTGAAAAAAGAAGGCATTGCATTAGAGAGGAAGCAGAACCCGAAATGACGTGCTAAGGATGAAGACATACTCGGCCAGAAGTCTGGCTCTCTCCCCAAATTCTGGGTGGCCTTGGGCACAGGAGCCCCCTGGAATCCCTATCTCTATGTGGAGAGAATGAGTGTCCCATGAATAATGGTCAACGTCCTGTCCCATGATGAGTCCTAGCTGGATGCTCTTTCCAAATAGAAGCCTCTGCATCTGCTAGGGCTGACTTCTAAGAGCCGACTAGTGTTCAGAGTGTTTGATAAGAGTCAAACCTTCAGGCAGACAAGTTTAATATATCAGTTCAGTCAAAAAAGTATAATAACAAAATTGAGAGCAAGGTCTCCCTTCAAGTGGGTATTTGCCAGAGTGTTGGTTTTCATGAATCATCTCTCTGTTTAGTAGCCAGCTTGCTACTAAACACGAGATTTGTCACAGAATAATAACATCTGATGATCAAAGTACTTTGACTTTTGATCTTTTTTTTTTAAAGCATATTCTATTTTTTATTATTTTTTATTTTTTTATCCTCACCCTAGGACATTTGTCCACATTTTGTTCAGATAGAGTGGGAGGGAGAGAGAGGAAGAGAGAGAGAGAGAAATATCGACATGAAAGGGACACATCGAGTGGCTGCCACCTGCATGACCAACTAGGGCCGGGGACAAACCGCAACTGAGGTATGTGCCCTTGTCGGGAACTGAACCCGGGGCTCTCTGGACCGCAGGCATATGCTCTAACCACTGAGCCAAACCGGCCAGGGCTGACTTTTGATCTTAAGTGCCCTGATCAGATATGGTGGACATATTATCCTATTTCATAGATGAAAATATTGAGACACAAGTTCCCAAATCAGAGATGGAGCTTGAACCAAGAGCCCAAGTCTGTCCCTTGCTTACCATGTATTATTTAATACCAAGGGAAAATAAGAAAATAATAAGCACCTTGGTTTTTTTTTTTAATTTTTAAAAATATTTCTTTATTGATTTTTTTCAGGGAGAGAGGGAGAGAGAGATAGAAACATTGATGTAAGAGAGAAACATCCATTGGCCGCCTCCTGCATGTCCCCTATCAGGGATCGAGCCTGAAACACGGGCATGTGCCCTGACCGGGAATCAAACCGGGACCTCTCGGTTCATGGGACGACGCTCAATCTACTGAGCCATACTGACTGGGCACATCTTGGGCTTTTAATCAAAGTCCTGTTAATAAGATGAAAGAAAAGGAAATTTGAAACGTAGATTTATATCTTCAAGTAGTCTTAAAAAAATAAATAAAGGAGCTGGGTTGCTCCAGTTACTAGGAGCCCCGCCCTTCCCCTGTAGCCTCTGAAGCAGGAGCTTCCCTGTGCCGGTGTCTTAGGTGGACCCACGTGCTCCGACTGATACTGGTTGTCAGTTTCATTGAGAAATTAGTTGCTCAATATGTATTAAGGCCTCAGCACTATTTCAGCACAAAGATGAAATAGCAATACTTCTTATAGATATCTTTATAAAAGGAGCTACATAACTGGAACATATCCCGTTGTGTCTCGTCCAGGTCCCCTGGACTTGGTGTGGGCTGGGGGTGGGTATGCAGTGCTGAGGGGTGAGAGGCGCTTGCCTGGCTGCCCTGCAGGAAGGAGAGAATCCTCGGTGTGTTTGATGGGCTGAACCTGAGAGAGATGGAATTGATCATATTTCTCAGTTGGAGGGTAAAGGAGTTTACTCCTTACATACAGGCAGAGGTTGGGGGTGGGGGGAAGTCATGGGAATTTATAGGGATCAAGAGGGGTTTTGCTTGAGAAAGTTCACTGTGGGGACTCTAGGGCAAATGTCCCTTCACAGCCTTGGGTCTCACTAAGGACTTGGGGATAGTACCCAAGGGTCGAGCTCTTGGTCTAAACTGATACTCAAAGTTGTGAGATTTCCTTGCAAAGAACAGACCAGACTGTGGGCTGTTGAGGTCCCCAGACTAGGTTTCTGTGCTTAGGACTGACTCTTAGTAAACTTGCAAGCTTGGTCATGTATGCAGTTTCAGTTACCTCTTTACATCCTTCTACCCCTGAGCATCTTCAGGGGCTGACCTGCTCGGGCCACCCAGTGCCCTCCCGTCTCCCCATGGCTCTCAGGCAACACTCCCCTGTGAATGTAAACAGACACCCAGCCCTTCCCTGTGCCTGCACAGAGAAGCTCGGCCTTCACGACACAGTGGGATCAAGCCGGAGAAGGATACTGCAGGCACAGGAAGCCTTTCCCTCACCTCTGAAGTCACGCTTGGAACACTCATTTCATAAATAGTTCTCAGCACCACCTGTGTGCCAGGTCTAACGCCACCGGCTCCTTGCTTTCTCGAAGCTACAGGCAGCTGGCCACTTCCTCTGTCTATAGATTTATTGACAGCCCTGGACTGGGCCTCAGACAACCTCCATGGTTCCACCCTGGTACAATTCCACTCAATTTTAGCTTCACCTGCCCCCCACTGGTCCTGCCCTGCGGGACAAGAGCTGGACGGCAGCCCAAGGGAGGGGACAGGACCACCAGACACAGATACCGCTCCTCTAGGCTGCTGTGTCCATTGAGGAGGCCGCCTTCCCCTTCCCAGCCTCAGGCTCTGCAGACTGGGGAAGCTGTCCTGACCCCTCAGCCTGGCTGGGGTCTCTGTGGGAGTCACCTGACAAAAAGCTTCTGGGTCAGGAGAGGCTTGCTCGCAGGCCCCATGGCCCCAGCTGGTTCCCTCCAGCTTCTCCAGGGCGGGCCCTGCCACTACAATTCCTGCATTTCTTGTCTGCAGCTGGTCTGTCCTCCTAGGAGGAGGATTTTGCCAGAGGACATGGGGTGGGTGGGGAGTCTGCCTCCTCCCTTTGCTCCGATTGCAGAAAAGGAGGGGTCCCCACCCCATGGCAAGGCAGCCACCTGAGCTCTGCCCTCATATAGACACAGCCTCGTCCTAGCCACCGGTGCCCAGCTCTGACGGGAGCCCTTTGAGCTGATTGGCAGCAAGCGACATGGCAGAGGAGCTGTCTCAAGAGCAGGTGGCTGAGTTCAAGGAAGCCTTCACCAGGTTCGACAAGGACGGGGATGGCACCATCAACGTGCAGGAGCTGGGTGCTGTCATGAAGACCCTGGGCCAGAACCCATCAGAGGCTGAGCTGAAGGAGCTCATCGCCAGGGTGGACACGGATGGCGACGGCGCCATCAACTTCCAAGAGTTCCTGGCAGAGATGGTTAAGAGGATGAAGTCCTGGAGTGGCGAGCTGGACATGAAGGAGGTCTTCCAAGCCTTTGACCTGAATGGCGACGGCCACATCACCTTGGACGAGCTCAAGCAGGCCATGGCCCAGGTGGGGCAGAAGCTCTCCCAGGAGGAGCTGGAGGCCATGATCCGGGAGGCAGACGTGGACAAGGACGGTCGGGTGAACTATGAGGAGTTCTTGCAGATCCTCAACCAGAAGTGAGGCCCGGCCCGCCCTCTGCCTGACTCTGGTTCTGGGGCCCCTGCTTGTGCGCTGGGGACATCAAGGGAAAGTCTGGGTGGTGGGAACCCTTGCCTCAGCCTGGGTTCTGTACTGTTGGGAAACCCTCTACACCTGGGGGGCCTGGGGCTGCTCCTGCTCTTCTCTGCAGTGAATGAGGGTGCTCCCTACCTCACAGGGCTGTTGTGAGGAACCCCAAAGCCAGGTGGTGGTCCAAATAAAAGCAAAGTGAGCCCCGAGAGCAGTGCGCTGGTATTTGAATGTTTGAAGGGACTCAAACGGTGGCATTTGGGGTTCTGTGGAGCCTCTGCCCCTTTGACGGGTCCCCAGCGGGAGAATCAGCCGGAGGCCAGATGTCTGCCTGTGGCCGCCCCTTGTGGTCCGGGCGTGGTGGGAAGTGGAAGGCATGAGTGTGTGCCTGAGCTTCCGGGTTACCATCAGAGCCTGCACCCCAGGAGTGGGACACGGCCTAGAGCACAGACAGTACAGTTTACCACGTTTTGAGGCCAGATAACTGCTCTTCAGGTTCAAATTACTCTTTAAAATGTGTATGTATGTGTCCTGTGTCTGAGATGCAGGGTTGTGGATATTTAAAAACCACAGAGGTGGTGGCCTCGCTGGAATGAAGGCAGGCCCGTCGGGAAGGGGGAAGACAGAGGTGCTGTGACGGGCAAAAAAAGCTGTGCAACATGAGATGGGGCTACTTGTCAGTCGGATCCTAGGAGACCTGGCCAGGGTGTTTCCACTCTGAGAGCCAGCGTCTGCGAGAGGTTTCCTTCTCCCGCCTCCCTCCCCCCGACCCAGCATCTCGCTGTTGCCCCCTCAGGGCCCCTCTGTGAGTTGGGGGTGCACACCACAGAGGGGCTGGGAAAAGTCAGAAAGACGGAGATGAAAGATGAGGGTCTTCTGGCAGCTGTCGGACCCTTACGTCCAGAGGACCGCCATTGGAACTTGGGTTTATAGTGTCGCTGTGCAGTTTTTAAAAATTCGACCCATTGGAGGCTGCTTGTCACAGCTCTGAATTTCTGAGGCTCCCTTGTCTGGGTTCTCAGAGGCTGTCTAAGCTCATCTTGCACATGAGGAAACTGAGGCCCAAGGCAATTAAGGGACCAGTCCGCATCGTCTGCAACCAGCTGTGTGACCTTGGGTGTCATTTAATGATGGGCTCCTGCTCCTTTATGGTGAAATGAGTTATTCTTTTGTTTTTGTTTGACTGAATGAAGCCTTAGCCCAAACTGTCAGTGAAGAATGACTTTATCTTGTCCTAGTTTGTGTCACGTCAGTGGTTCTCAGCTCAGGGTGGGGACAGGCAGAGCCAGCTTTCCTCAGGGGTTATTGCAAAACACTGGGCCAGGCCCTGCACCACCCAGCCCCTCATTTGAGCATCTGTGGTGGGGGTGGGCGTGGGGCCAGGTCATCAAGGTAGGGCTGCCGCATCGATGACAGGAGTCTTTTATTCTCCCCCATTTGACATTTTTAGTGGGTCACTCCAGTCCTCCTGTCCTCAGAGTTTGGCCATTTCCCTTCCAGAGCTCGGCCTGTGGTTGGACAAGATGAGGAAAAGTCCTGGGCTGAAGGGCTGGGTGGTGGCCCGTGGGTTGGGGGCCATGAAGGAAGAAGGGAAGGAATTCCTAGGTCCCTAAAGGCTCCGAGGGAGGGAGGGGGTCGTGTGGGGAGGAAGGTGTGGGATCCTATCTGGAGATAAAGACTTAGAAGTAGGGGAATGGGGGAGAGGCAGCCCCAGACCTGGTGTGGTGATCTGACGAGGGTGGTGGCAGAAGTGCTCCCTCTGTCCAGGATGGGGCTGGTTCTCTCCAGAAAGTCCCCATGCTGCGAGGGACAGAGGTCACAGCAGTCTGAGTTTCTGGATTAGTGATTCCTAAATGCCAAGCGGGTCTAAGATGAAGTTTCTCAAGCTCCTCGTGAAAACGAGAGAAATTAAGACATTTTGACTAACCTAAATGTATTCAATTTCTATAATTCCAACACTATGCTCTTTCTATATTTTCCTTTCTTTCATAAAGCTACTGTAATAACAGATGATAGTTTTGTGGGTTTTTTTTTTTTTTTTTCCATGTTGTTATTCTGAGTCCTACAAGTGCTCCCAAATTAATTTACATATTTTACTGGCTCCCTGAGGTCCAAATGCCTGAGAACAAGTAACTATTCAAGTCTGTGGGGTGTAAAAAGCCTTTTTTTCTGACTTGAAGGAAATGTGTAGTTCATACACGGGAACAGGGAGCTCCAAGTTTAAACTCATGTTTCCTTGGAGAAAGAGTCATAGAGGCTCTCAGCTGATGTCTTCATGTTCTGTATCTTTTTATTTTATTTTAATTTTTTTATTGATTTTTTTTTTTTTTTTTTTTTAGACAGAGAGAGGAAGGGAGATAGAAACATCGATGAGAGAGAACATCGACCGGCTGCCTCCTGCATGCCCCCCCCGGGGATCAGGACCCACAACCTGGGCATGTGCCCTGACTGGGGATTGAACTGGTGACCTCTTGGTTAATGGGTCAATGGTCAACCACTGAGCCAGACCGGCTGGGCCATGTTCTGTTTCTTAAGCTAGCTGATAGCTACATAGAAGAAAAAAAAACTGTTTTATTCTCCATATTGTATGTCTAAAATATGTTATACTAAGTATAATGCATGCAGTATCTAGGAAATGAGAACTTACAGAGGGAAGGAGAAAAAAACCACTGGCAGCCCAGGGACAAGATTTGGTTGGTATTTGAGGCTTCTCATTGAGTTCCTGAAAAGGGCTCGATGGAGCCTCAAGGCAAAAAAAAAAGTAGCAGAAACTTCTCTTTATCTATTGCCCCAGGAGAACAGAAAGAGAATCTGAGGATCTGGGAGAGGAAGTGACTCACTTGAGGTCCTGAATGAGATAAGGACCTGGAATGGACCCAAGGGCTCTGAGGGCCCTCCAGTGACCCTTACATCACCTGACAGCCCTGCCTCTGGAGCAACTGCCCCTGGGGGCAGGAGGTGGGTCGGGTGGAGGGGGTTGGAGGGAACACACATGGCAGAATGACGTCTGGAAGCTGAGTTTCCAATCCTGAGTTTCAGTGACTCTTGCCACACCTGACTCTGCACGAGGTATACAGAACTGGGTTCAGATTGACTCCAAACTTCCTTGAAGACCTTTGAGGGTTGAGCCAGGTCTCCCCTACCCACTCCACCCTGCTCGTAGCAGTTCATGCAGCAGCCCTGTCGCCGTCAAGAACACCGAGAACTAGAAAGTGTGCAGCCCACATGGCTTAGGGCAGTTCAGGGACACTCGATTCTCTGAAAACCACTTCTTGGAAGATCAGTTTTGCCAAGACTAGTTCTGCAAATGGTTCGTTTGCTGGTATCCCCCCCCCCCCAAAAAAAAAAAGTTAAAAAACATTATAAGAATTATAGACATTTGTGTCTGGTGAAATGGGTTAACAGTTTTTGGAAGATTTCTCTGAAGTTGTATTTGTCCAGTTTAACATTTGAGTTTCATTTAGTTTTGCATGTGACTCGATAAATTATTTCAGTTGCAGTCAGTTCACCACAAGCTGACAAAAACGAAAGATATTGTTTTCGATGCTCCTTATGTGTGTCAGTGATTTGAGGGGAAGAAGAGCTGATTCATTTCAGTTGAACAGTTGTGCGTGTCTCTGATATCAGGATTTTATATATTACAGAGAGCAGGTTTCCCTTCTAACAGGTTGTCAATATAGACTATTGCTTTACTACTTCCTTTAATTCACAGATTCATTAAGTGGCCCAATGGATATTTGTGTGTGTTTTAAGTATTTGTGAAACTGAATCTGAAATCTGAATCACACACGAAACTGACATTCAGGTGAGCAGAACTGAACTGATACATCTGTTGGAACTGGCTGGGTTGAAAACACAAGTAATCTAAACGAAAATACAATTTTTCCAAAATCCTTCCAGATGTTAATCAGAATATTGACTTTAGAGAAATTACTCTACTTCTGGTCAAAACAGATGTTTCAGATTTCATATACTAAATGATACCCTTTTTTCATGCGTTCCTGTGGACCTTTTATGTCTTCATCCATGCTTGTTCCTGACAGGCCCGATGAACCCATTCCTCTTTCAAGGTCCCTATCAAATGTCTCCTCCTCCAGGAAACTTTCCAGAACGGGACAGGCACACTGTAGATTCTGGATACATGCTGTGGGAATGAATGATTAGATCTCCCTCTTTCTTTGTACAGTCCTCATCAAAGTGTACCTTGTGTTCAAGTTCCTTGTGAACAAGGCCTAGTCTTCTTCCTCAGAACCACAAACAATGAGGTAAAACCCATCAACATCACACTAGATTGGACACTCTGAATGCAGGTTGTACACTCCCGGCCCGTGGATGATTAACACTAACCCTTCCGTGATCCGCATGAAATGCTGGGCTTCCTCCCCCATGAGGTATCACCTCCACCGGCAGAGATGGTGGCTTCCAGAGTGCCCATTGGCTTCAACGGCAACTCCAAAATGTCACACTCACTGGGGAGAGGGAAGACCCCCAGGTGTGACTGAAGAGGGATTGTGACTCTCTTATGCCCTGTTTTTATGAAAACAGCCCACGCATGACAATAAGATCCCAACAGTTCTGTAGTAGTCAGGGTTCTCCAGACAGGCAACTGATAGGGCGTACAGAGAGATATAAGAGGAGATTTATTGTACAAACTGGCTCACCTGAGAAGTCCCAAATCTTCCTTCTGCAAGCTGGAGACTCAGGGAGCCAGTGGTATGGTTCAGGTCAAGTCTGAAGGCCAGAGAATTGGGAATTGACGGTACAAGTCCTGATCTGAGTCTGAAGCCCTGAGACCCAGGAGCTCTGACGTCCGGGGCAGAGGAAGATGGATGTCCAACTCAAGCAGAGATCGAATCCACCCTTCCTCCTGTTTTGTTCTCTTTGGGCGCTCATGGATGGGTAAAGCCCACCATGCTGGGAGGGGGGTGGGCGTGATGTGCTTTGCTCAGTTCACCAGTTCAAATGCTAGTTTCATTTGGAAACCCCTGCACAGACACCCCCACAAATAATGCTCACCAGCTACCTGGGCATTCCTTAGCCCAGTCAGGTTGACACATAAAATTAACTATCACAAGTCCATT